CTCATGTCCATCGAGTTGGTGATGCCATCCAACCATCTCATCCTCTGTCGTCCCCTTCTCCTCCCTCCTTCAATCTTTCCCAGCATCATGGTCTTTTCCAATGAGTCAGTTCTTCCCATCAGGTGGCCAGAGTTTTGGAACTTCAGCATCAGTCCTTCCAATGAATATTCAGGGCTGATTTCCTTTAGAATTGACTGGTTGGATCTCCTTGCAGTCCAAGGGACTCTCAAGAGTCTTTGCCAACACCATAGTTCAAAAGGATCAATTCTTCAGCGCCCAGCTTTCTTTATAGCCCACCAAAGCAAGACCCATTTTTTCCCATCACCCATTTTTTCCCATCAGGAAGCTTACACAAACCTCTTAGCCTCCTCCATCAGTGGACAGACAGAAGAAGCAAGAACCACAATCCCACAGCAACTAAAACAAAACCAAATTACAGAAAGTTAATCATCATGAAAGAGCAGACAGTTATGTCCCAGATGAAGGGACAAAATAAAACCCCAGAAAAACAACTAAATGAAGTGGAGATAGGCAGCCTTCCAGAAAAAGAATTCAGAATAATGATAGTGAAGATGATCCAGGATCTCTGGAAAAGAATGGAGGCAAAGATTGAGAAGATGCAAGAAATATTTACCAAAGACCTATAAGAACTAAAGAACAAACAAGCAGATGAATAATACACTGGAATGAATCCATAACAGGATAACTGAGATAGAAGAACAGATAAATGACCTGAGGACAGAATGGTGGAAATCACTGCTGCAGGACAGAATATAGAAAAAAGAATGAAAAGAGATGAAGACAGCCTAAGAGACCTCTGGGACAACATTAAACACAGGAATATTTGCATTATAGGGGTCCCAGAAGGAGAAGAGACAGAAAGGACCTGAGGAAATATTTGAAGAGATAATAGCTGAAAACTTCCCTAACATGGGAAAGGAAGTAATCAACCAAGTCCTGGAAGCACAGAGTCCCAGAAGGAACAACCCAAGGAGGAACACACTGAGACACATGGTAATCAAACTGACAAAAATTAAAGACAGATAAAATCGTAAAAGCAACAAAGTAAAAATGACAAATAACATACAAGAGAACTCCCATCAGGCTATCAGGTGATTTCTCAACAGAAACTCTATAAGCCAGAAGGGAATGGCATGACATATTTAAAGTGATGAAAGGGAAAAACCTACAACCAAGAATACCCAGCAAGGCTCTCCTTCAGATTTGATGGAAAACTCAAAAACTTTCCAGACAAGCAAAAGTTAAAAGAACTCAGCATCAACAAAACAGATTTTCAACAAATGCTAAAGGAACTTCTCTAGGCAGAAAACAAGATAAGGAAAAACCCTACCTATAGAAAATAAACCCAAAACAATTAAGAAAATGGTAATAGAATCATACATATCAATAATTACCTTAAATGTAAATGGGTTAAATGCACCAACCAAAAGACAAAGACTGGCTGAGCAGATGAAAACGTGCACATATGCAGTTCCACTTACCACATCAGTCTGCTTGACCCCCTCAATTATACATAATTACTTTATATTGTTAGGTTAATCATGTTCCCATTATGGCTTGCAATTATAATTATCTTTTATTTTTGTCTATTGATTGTGAAAATTGATAAACAACTTTTACTGTTGTGATTATGTAACTATTGTTTAATACCATAGTATCGTGATTTGTCAGCAGAAAAATTGCAGAAATCTGTATCATTGAAACTACAATTTAATAGAAAAACCTGTAATCACTTTTTAAAATCCAGATGCATATCAGAATTATCTTGGAATTTTTTGAAAAATACAAAGGCCCAGGTATTGCTTTTATTTTTGCCAGAACTTCACAGATATGTCTTATGAGCAGCCATATTTAAAAACAGCTGGACTATTTGAGGATCTTTTACTTTTATCCAATTTGTTTCACTTTTTCTATTTCATATTCAGTGCTTGCATTTCATTTAGTTTATGTTTTCCAATTTCTCTTTTTTTTATATTCTTTCCTAAGCCTTTATCAGTGTAGTAGAAGAGCTTTTGTATACATATATATAAATAATATGTATAATAGGTATATTTTAGAAAACTTATGAATTTTTGCCTAACTAAAAATGTATAACATTTTGATTCCACTTCTATTCATACTGCTTGACAGTATGAATTTTAAATATATTTGTGTAGGATATGATTAATTCAAATTAGTTATATATAAATCTATTTAAATTATTAATGACATCATTCAAGATGCTCCTATTCTCATTTTTTCTGCACTTGATAAAATATTCTCAGAGTAATGTTAATATATCTCACTATGATTATATATTTTTTCTTTTCCCTTATATTTCTCCTGATTTTTGCTTTTTTTAATCTTTATTTCTTTGTTGTTAAGGTGCCTAATGGTTTATGATGTCTATCTTCTTTGTGAATGGTACCTTTTATCATTAAAAATAATCATCTTTGTTTCGTTTTTTTAAAAAGACCTTGTTAAGGATGTAGAAAAAGTTATAAATAGCAGTTTTTCAAAGTTAATCAGGAAAAATTATATTACTTAAAATTGTAATGGTATTTACTCTCCTCTAATCTAAATTACAGAATGGTTTTCACGGATCTTTGCCAACTGACTTTAAAATCATTATGGATAAGTAAAGGACAGAAGAGCTAAGATGAGTTCGGAAAGAAAGAAAGGAGCCTGCCCAAGACTGGCAAGCCCATGCAGGAGAAAGGAGCTATCGTACATTTGGAGGGGTGGTAAATGGTGGCTACTTTTTTTGTATAAATAGTCTTCAGCCAGTAGATACATGAACAAAATCAAAAAGGAGTACTGTTGAAAAAGAAAGTACTCCTCACACCCCTTTTGGGTGAACCCCTATTCTCAGAAGTAACCTCTTTTGACAGTTCCTGGAATATACCCCTAGAACTCTTATACAGAGATAATTATATAATGTTTTTGAGAAATTGTACCTATACCATGATTTCTTTTCAAAGATCCATTCTCTTAGCAACTTTCAAATATGCAGTATAATATCGTTAACCATAGTCACCACGATATCTACTGTATCTCCTTGAGTTAATTATCTAATAACTGAAAGTTTGTACCTTTTGACCATTGTCACACATCTTGCCCATTCCCTCCCCACCCCTCATGGCTGGCAATCACCAGTCTGTTCTCTGTATCTAATGAGTGTTTTTTTGGTTTGTTTCACGTATCAGTGAGATCATATGGTATTCGTCTTTCCCTGTCTGACTTATTTCATGTAGTATAATGCCTTCAAGATCCATCTATGTTGTCACAAAAGGCAAGTTTTTTTATGGCTGTGTAATACTCCATTATATATATCTGTATCTCACATCTTCTTTATTCATCTGTCCATGAGCACTTAGGTTGTTTCCATACCTTGTCTACTGTAAATATCTTGGCTATTGTACATACTGCTTCAGGGAACATGGAGGTGCAGATGTGTTTTCATTTTCTTCAGATCAATACCCAGAAGTAGATCATATGGTAGTTCTATTTTAAATTTTTTGAGAAACCTCCATGTTCTTTTCCATAGTGGCTAAACCAGTGTTGACCTTTATATATCAAAAGATATTTGTACCTCTACTGCATCATTTGCCACCCTTAGCTGGCAGGCGGCAAAGCTAACACATCAGTCTGTGGACCGCTCCACCTTGTTTCCTCCTGCCCTTGTTTGTTACGGCAGTGGGGCTGCTGCTCCCACTTCACTTACTTTTTATCTCTCAGTTAACTGCATTGGCAGAGAAAATAGAAAATAACTCTTTAAAGTTATCTGATGCCTAAACAAAAACCAGTTCTCTTCCACAAGCTGTAGACACAGAGGCTCTGCATTCCCTCTGCCATGATTTACTCCTTGCTTGAAATGAAATTCATCTCCTGAGTTTTGAAGGTTCTTCAGTGATGAGATCTTGGTTTGTGGGTTTTTTTTGTTTTTGGTGGGTTTTTTTTGTGGTTGCGCTGAGCAACCCTGGACCATCAGGGAAGTCCTGAGTTCTTGCCTTTTTTTTGTTTTGACTTCTCTGATAGATACTTAAATGACAGAGTAACTAGATACAGAATCCTTCTGTTGTACTCTAATTCCTTGTATACCCTGGGGCACTCAACCCTGTCTTGCAGCACAGGATGTTTTTCTGGAGAGACTGAGGCCAGCATCATTTGTCTCACAGTATGTTTTTGTGTCTAGATATCCTAGTTTACCTGGGATATTGGAGATTGGAGTATTGGAGTATGGAGTATTGGGGATTGGAGAGGAATGGAAAATGGCACAAATTCAGTTGTGGCTGTAACGTTTTATTTCCTTGAAAAATGAAATGATATGAAGCAAATATGCCGTAATGTTAACCTGAGTTTGTACAATTGCTGAGTGCAAGAGAATCTGTAAACATCATTCTCTGTGGTGCAGGGTATGTTTGGAACAAAATTTTTTAATAAATATGCCATGTAACTATAAATCAGGGAGAGCTTGTATGCTTTAGTGATGCAGTTCAAAATATATTTAATTGAAGATCACATTTTTGCTTTATTGATCATAGCATGCATTCTTGTTTTCTTTATATGTTGACAATCAGCTGTGTACTTTCTGTATTTTCTTTTGTGTCATTTCCTAAGTTTTGAGTAAAAGTATTTTATATTCCAAAATCCTGAAGATGATAAAATTCTAGATTGAGAATCTGCAGAGTGGAGGTTAGCGGCAGTTGCCACAGAGGCTAGAACTAAATGGGATGTTTGACTATAAAATCTGTTAAAAGATTTATTTATGCTGGTTTGGGAGTATTTTGAACAAATGTTCCCCTAAATATGCAAAATAGATTGAAGGTTTAAAATATTATGATAATTGAAAGAGTTCAGTATTCAGGCCTGACTGACTTTCTTTTCTCTCTGTAGGGCTCTCATAAGTATGTCACAATAAAGAAAAATATTTTCTTACTGTTATTCATTTTCATTTTTCAGTACTAAGAGACTTTAAATTTGTTTTCCTCTGTATTCAGGTACATGTCTCGAGTCCACGGTATGCATCCAAAGGAGACCACTCGTCAGTTGAGCTTGGCTGTGAAAGATGGTCTCATTGTGGAGACGCTGACAGTGGGCTGCAAAGGCTCCAAAGCTGGTATCGAACAGGAAGGATATTGGTTACCAGGCGACGAAATTGTAAGTTTTTTATTTTATAAATCTGGAACGTTGTTTATGTATAGCCCATAGAGATTTGTTTTCAGAAGTTTGGTAATATTTCACAGTAAGGACCTGCGTTGGTAGGATGGCTCCTTTCCTTCCTGATTGTTTGGGAGAAAACTCACCTGTGCAGGGAGTCTGCTTCTCCTGTCTGGGTTGCCTTGAATCTGAAAAATAAAGGAAAGCCCTTTGAATGTACACACAATTAATGGTATTCCTTAAGCGTTTTCTTCAATAAATGTTAGTAAAAAGAAGAAAAAGTTTCAGTGAGGATAATGTTGATGCCGTCCAGACAGACTGAAAAGGTTGTATACTTCTCTACTCGGGGTCACATACAGAAGTACCTTTTTTAAATGTTTAAGATTGGTTTCATGTGTAATATGTCTGTCTGTCTTCCTTATTTGCTCTTAACTTTTCTTATACTTTAATGACAAGTCTGTTTTTGGAACAGAAAGATTTAAAATAGGATAAACATTAATTTTTTAGTTCTAAAATGAATAAATTTGATAATCAGATATATTGAGAGTGCTTTATTATGAATTCTCTAAAATCTAGAATTATAAAAATGACACAGTATCTTAAAATTGGTTCATTTCCCCAGAACATTGTCTTTCCCTTCATGGCTCTAGGCAGTTGAGCCAACACAGACACTCGCTTGTCAAGTCTGAGAGCAGTGAACTAACAGCACAGTTTTCTGTGGTAGACTATTAGCTTTAACACTGTTTTTGTCAATTTAATAAGTGCTTTTAAAGTTTCAGGAAAGAAAATTCACGTTTTTCACAAATAGAAAACATGGAATAAAAAATGTTTAATCTCACTGGTATCATTTGATTTGTGCACTAGAAATATTCTTGAAAACTTAAGTGAAAATGTTTATATTAGAATAATTCTTCAGTTGCCATCCTTGGTGGTTTAGTTGCTAACTTGTGTCCAAGTCTTGCGACCCCATGGACTGTAGTCCACCAGGCTCCTCTGACCGTGGATGGAATTTCCCAGGCAAATACACTGGAGTGGGTTGCCATTTCCTTCTGCAGGGGATCTTCCTGACCCAGGGATTGAACCCAGGTCTCCTGCATTGCAGGCAGTCTCTTTACCAAGTGAATCACCAGGGAAGCCCTTTACATAAAATTAAAGTTTTTGCCAATAAAGAAACTCTGGGTGCCAACGTATAATAATAATAATAATAATAATAATAATAATCTCAAGTGGTATAAATCTATCTATAGCAGACATTTAAAGGAGGGCCACTGATAATTGATAGCTTATCATATACTCAAAATGATCCAGATAATATAAAATTTTTAATCCACAACCACTTAGAAACATAAAGATTTACTACAGAAGGCTATATGGATAATTTCTGAGATGTCTGTAGCAACTGGCCAGTAGTAAAAGCAGCTTAATCCGTAAGATTTTGGTTTGTGGATCATATGCACAAGTTTTTCATAAAAGTGATTGATTTCTCCCGTTTAGATTTGTGCTTTTCCATATGCTTTTTTCCCTCTTCAAGTTGAAGTTTTTTGTTTAGTTTAATTCAGCAAGCAGTTAATGAGTTATATATGTTCAACCACATTAGATTCTGTATTCTAGTTTTATGTATACATGTCCCCACTGCATATGTTTTTATAGCATCTTCCTTTTCTTTTTTCTAGATGAAATCTCACATGTAAGTCAAACAACGTATACAGATTTTATTAATTCTGGTTGATTCTTATTCACAAGCATTTTTATACCAAGTATACATGTATGATTTAAGTATAACTGAGTATAAACATTGTACCTAGTTTATGAAATAGTGAAATAAAAAGAGGTAAGGTTTCTATCCCATCTCAGATATTGTTTCTAGTTGTGTGAGGGAGTTTCTAACCTCTGATACTCATTCTTCAGCTGTAATATGGGCACATTAATATTGCTTTCATTTGGTTATTTTGAGGATTAAATGAGATTATCTATAAAAAGCATTTAACTATGCACTCAAAGAAAGTTTTTGACCAGTGAATAAATATGTTTAAAACAAGAAACGCCTTTTGTGTAGCAAAAGCACACAAATTTCTTACTTAACAGCGAGCAAAGATTCTTATGATTTTTTTTACTTTTAACCTGTAATTGCAAACAGAAGTTTTGTAATGACATCTTCCTTTAGGATGCTGGATCTGTATTTAAGATGTTGTTATAAAATGATGAGGCTGATTATACGTGTATCTCATGGTTGTGGCTGGTGGACCACTTGCTACCCAGGGCTGTTTGTGTGTTGCAGTTTTCATGCCCTGAGAATACTCTGGAGGACACACAACTGACCTGTGTCACCCTTGGCACAGCGCAGGCATCTTGCAGTGGCCAGTTCTGTGTGTGAGTAGGGACTGTGTGGCCTGTGCATGCAGGCTGCTGTGTCCGGGGCTGGTGTGAATTGCACAGCTTAGGAATTGCCACCTTCTCCTCAGATATACTTGCTTGCATGTTTATTTAGCAGTTCTCTAGCACATGGCAGTGACGTGTCTTGTTCTAACAAAATCAGTCTTAGGGAAGGGCAACTTTCTAATCAGCACAAAGGTTTTCTGTGGTCTTTGACAGCCCTGCATGCTGGCATTTGAGTCTGGGACTCTTCTTTATAGTTTCTCCACTTTTTATGTGAGATGATACCTCTGAAAGCTTGAGGTTTTAGATTGGAGGGTGTGCATTATTATTTATCTCACTGACTTTCTACTAATTATTAAGAGAAGAAAAAAATCAAGTAGATATATATGGCCTATAAAAAAGTCAAGTAGATTATATATGTAAGGAAAGGGATAGGATTTTTCTACTATTCATTTTTTTTTTTTTGAGATCTACCATTCATTTTTAAACCTTTATTCAGAGTTACAAAGACTCTTTACTCAGGGAGTTCTGTCATTTGAGAAATGTAGTGAAGCTCCTCTTCTCTTCATTCTATAGCCTCTAAAAATAGCAGCTATAGCTCAGAGGTAGACAAGTTGGTTCCTCTTGATAAGTCCTACAAGTTGTATCCCTTGGGATACTGTGTATTAGCAAAGAGGGTGGACTCCTTGTCCTCATGTCCATGGCTCTGTTGAGAGAGAAGGTAGGCAAAAGTGTTGTTTTTTAGGCCACAAAACCATCACTGAACAGAGTCTGCTGTGTCATGTTTCTTATTCCGCCTTGCTACCTTTTTTCCAATGTTGATTTTCAAAAACTTGATACAGTTGAAAAATATGCATATCTTAAATACTATTGTTTTATTAAATCCAGCTATCATGTAATAAAAGCCTAACTCTAAAAAGACTATTTCAGGATACAATTATATATAATTTATTTAAGAGGAAGCCTGTGTAAGTCAAAGACGGTAACCTCCATTGTACTGAGATTCTGCTAGGAATGAATTGATTTCTAGACACTTTGAGATGCTGATCTTAACCACCATTTTGTATCTCTTTTGAAGTGAGAATTCGTTTGGAGAAACTGATGAAATTCAGTAGTACATAACCATCTTCATGGTGATATTTTAAAATGTCTATTTGAGATAGAATGAAAAGTGTAATTATTGAAAATGAAGCCTCTCTCAATTTTAAATGGTTAGTTTAAATATTAGTCAGTAAACAGTGGAAGTATATGTACTAGCCAGTTCTTAAAATGACAGTCTTGCCGAGCCTGGGCAACACTCTTGTAAGTTTTATGTGGTCATCTTTAATTTTCAGATATCTGTCATTACTATTCACTCAGATGATCTGAATAGCTCTTTTAGAGATCATTTTTAAAGCTTTTGAAATTACACTGGTAAAAGGCCAGTAGATCTGGGTACATACTGAAACTTGTGTTTGTTTCATTTCAAGGCTTGTTTCATTTTTTTTTTTTTTTAAGGAAAAACTTCGTTTGCCTAGATTGCTTCATCATCTGCTTGCTCTAAACTAATGTACATGGATGGCTACATTCAGCCCATACTCCATCATGATATTTCATGTCCTCTATTTTAACAACTTGAGAAATATATTTCTTGGGTGGAAAATTTTACCATTGCTCAGCTAAGATGAGTTTGGTATTTAGTAGCTCCCTTTGTAATAAATGCAACTTAATTTCTTAATTCACTAAAGATAGGAAAGTCTTATAAAAGTATTTAATTTAACACAGACATACCTCATTTTATTGTACTTTGGCTTGTGCTTTTTTTTTTACAAATTGAAGGTTTGTGGCAACTCTGCGTTGTCCAATGACGGTTAGCGTTTTTAGCAGTAAAGTATTTTTATAATTTTAATATAATTTAATGTCTGTACCTTTTTTAGACATATTGTTATTGCACCTTAATAGATTACAGTACAGTGGAAACACAACTTTTATATGCAATGAGAAACCAAAAAACTTCATGTGACTTTCTTGCAATAATCTCTTTATTGCAGTGATCTGAAACTGAACCCATAGTATCTCTGAGGGGTGCCTGTATAAGTGTAGCAGGGCAGGTGACCTTGAGTTATGGATCCTGTGCAGATAAAACATATCAAATATGTGTTTTGATATTGAGGCTGTAGATATTATTTATTTGGTGACTCCCAACTTGATTCATGGTCCCTGGCACAAAGCTATGACTATCTATTATTTGACAGACACTTTTTAATCTGACATTAAATATTTTGGTCACCAGTATAGAGGATGGCATATGAGTGTGAAAAGGTGACATTTGCTATAAGACTGCTTGTCTCTTTACTTGCCTGCCAGATCTGGACTCAGGGTCTCCTTTCTACTTGTGTGGGTCATGCCAGTCCAAAAACAAAATACCGGCTTAGGAACCACAGCTTAGGTTTTCAGTTAGTGTGCCTCCACCAGTTTTGCTGCCGATGACTGGAGAGCAGCTGCAGACATGAGCTTCCATCTCGGCTGGTCAGGCCTGCTCAACATCAGCAGTTTTCACGTAACCTAGTTTGTTCTCTGATAAGCAGTACCTCTTGCTAGTTTTTACATAGGTCTTGAGTTAAGGTTGGTACCTTTTAAGAAGCATCATTAATGAAAACACAAATTTTGTGGTTTCTTGAAAAGATGAACATATTGGGGATAAATGGATTTAGTTTTAATTTACAGAGGGACAAGATAGGTATTTTTTTCCCTGTCTTCATCTCTTTTTCCTGATTCAAAAGGACCAGTCTAAAAGACACTGAGGTTTATATACCTCTTGAAACTTGGCTGAAAGCTCACATCTTTTATGTATGAGGTAGGATTGGATTTATGCCTTATTCTTCAGAAATTACACGATTAAACAGCCATGGCAAGATGTGTTCCCCTGCTTTGTTCCCGAAAAAACATTGAGAGGCCTGCAAACAGCCCACTTCATAAATACAGCATAACAAAGTAAGAATTTTTTTAAAAAAGTTTACATCTTTGTGTTTTCTTATTATACTTATAAATTAATCAGTCATGTTTTAAAACTTTTTTGTCCCTTGGATTCTGTTGGTTTTTTAAATGTGAATTATATTTTATTATATTTATTCTAATTATGTGCAGAACTACATATTTCTCCCAAAGGTCCATTACCTGCATCAGATACAATTTTTTATTTACTAAATATTAAGTAATAAGTGATGTATTGGTGATTATTAATTAAAAGTCAGTTATACTGTGGTTCTATGTGCAAAACAAACTGTTATGTACTTAGATGTTCTTGCTTTGGTGATGAATTTCTATTTTACTCAATAGAATATTTTGGGTCATATTGTCCTGTTATACTCTTTTCAGCTTGTGTGTGTGTGTATGTGAGAGTTCTTTTGTTTTCCTCTTTTTAAATTTTATTTCACTAAGCAGTGTTTTAATATTCTAATTAAAAAATAACATTTAAAATGACTGGAAATCTTTAACCATAAAAATCTTAACTCTCAGTGATGAACTGAATTTATTATCAGAATTAAACTAAATTCTAGAATTTGCATAGAATTAATTTTAGATTGTTCCTGTGTAAAATACCAGACAAAAACACATATTTGATGATGTGAGGTTCTGTCTGCTCACTGTGTAGAAACAGGGGACTGGTGTGAAAGCTAAGTCTCTTGCACGCGGTGAGGGAGGCCGTCTCCAGGCACAGTCCTCTCGCTGAGGCTCCTTGCTGCAGCGTTAACTCTCAGACCGGTAACAGTGCTTCTTGTCCCATCTTGCTTACAGAAATGCTGGGAGAGTTAGCAGTCCTAGTGCACTTAGTGTCCTGAAGAAGAAATTCACATGTGGGTAATTGCAAGTGTCACACCATTTAGTGACTTATCAATTCCCATTTTGTGCATTATAGCAAATAGATCATCTTAACACCAGCTAACAGTTACTAAGCATAGTAACTTGTTTGATCCTTGCAAAAGCCCCATAAGCTGAGGTTTATGCTAGTGTAGCTCCGGAGTCTTAACCAAATGCCATAAGTGGTGACAGAGCCATAGATCAGCAGGCTGCCTCTTGATGGTAGAATGTTTTCTACTCAGTTCTGAAGACCACCTGTATAAACTTCACACTGTGGTGAAGTACCAAGTTGACCACATTTATATTCATCACTCGGCAGGTTTTTTCTTTTGGCCTTTTCATACTGTTCATGGGGTTCTGAAGGCAAGAATACTGAAGTAGTCTGCCATTCCCTTCTCCAGTGGACCATGTTTTGTCAGTCCCTGAGTACCTGGGACATGCCTTTCAGCCACTCCACATAGCTGGATGACACGCCTGGGGCCTTGGTTGTCCCACTGCTAGTTCTTGTTGAGCATGTAAACCTTCACTGGCTGTCGGATGTCAGGGAGATGGTGAAGGACAGGGGAAGCCTGGTGTGCTGCAGTTCATGGGATTGCAAAGAGTCGGACACAACTTAGCAACTGAACAACAATAACAGCAACCCCCAATTAAAAAAAAAAACCCAGTGTGAATCAGTGTGGGGTCAATAAGACACACATTTGTGATCATGCACAGATTTAAATGACACTGAATTTGTTAGTAAAATGTTTTTCTGTCATCTTCATAGGTTTCATGGAACATGAATTCCTATAGATTTTCTTTGTGTTCATTTTGTAGTGTTTGTGTTAGTGAAAAAAGTTTACTCTTAAACTAGTAATGATTCTTGAGTTTGCATGCAACTGTCGTTTCATTAATGATTACCACAGTGATTACTAGTTGATATCATCTGCCAGATACTATGGTATAGCAACTAATAAACAGTTTGACCATGTACCAAACCCCTTTAGCTCTGTATATTGCCTGATATTGAGCAAAGCTATAGGAGAGAGACCAAGATTATTTTGTTTTTATTTTGAAAGGCCTACAGCATGCAGCCTTTCTTCAGGACAGCAACCCCAGCCAAGGTGAACCGATTTTGCACTATATTATTTTACTTTAATTCTGCTTTTTTAAAAAATTGAATTTCTCTTTCTTTAGGCCAGCTTAGTTAATTCTTGCTAGAATTGTTCATTTAAACCATACTCTTTACATTGCTTCTAGTTTTGGATTTCGTGCTCATAGGTTTGCTTTTTTAAAAACTTTCTTGTATTGAAGTAGCATTTCACATATTATGTTGGTAAGGCTGAATGTTAATAGTTGCTGACTTCTGATGAAATTCAGTAAAAATGCAATCTTAGTTTTTTGGCATACACTATTGAATATTAGTCAAAAGCACTATATAAATCTGTTTACTGAAAGACAAACCGTATACAACTCTTCCTATAATAAACATATCATTTAAATGTTTCCTGGATTCAGAGTGTAGACACTTTTGACCTTGACTTTGCATGTTCTGTGTGTTTGAATAGCTATTGCAGTGATTGAAAGAGTAAACAACACATTCATTCCCAGCTCATGCTCTCTTTTATATCAGAAACAAAGTTAGTAGATGCCATTATATAAACATTTATCCAAATGTTTCTCTACTTCATTTGAATTATAATTTCATTTTTATAATTTTTATGAAAAACTAGGCCTAGAATTAAACACCCCATTGATGAAAGATCCGTTTTCATCCTTGTTTCATGGGTGGATGGGAGAAGGCAGGGTTAGGTGAAGGCAGGCGGTGTCAGGAGGAGGCCAGAGCGGTCCACCAGCATGTGTTCTCTGACTTCCTCTTCTTAGTGAACCTAGTGATTGCCATGTTGAGAATCACAGGGAGATGAATTGATGTGTAAAAAAAATCTCAAATGATGAAGAATGGCAGTTTCTTTTGTTAATGAGTATACATAAGCCACCAAAATCCTTTTAAGATGTCTCTGAACAGTTATATGAGGAAAATATTCTGAAATATTTGGTTTTAAATTTGGAAAGAGTAAATTTTAAAAAGCCATCTTATCTCCATTGGAAACTAAATTATCAATGATTTTTGGTGCAAATATTGAAATAGCTAAAACACAGCTTCCTTATGAGCTGCGTGAAAGGGATACACTAAAGGTTGTTACTTTAGTACAGCCAAGCACCACAGTTTACTGTGGCACCGCTATGTCAGACTTTGTGGGGGAGCTTTTTTCTACCACGCACAGATGAGGCTTTTATGTCAAATCAGTACCTTATGGTCTTTTAAATAGTCTGACTGAAATTATTCCTCCCTTACTGAGTGAGCAGAGTCTACACATCTGCAGCAAACAACTAAAAATGGTAGTGCTTTTTTCTTTATTACTTTGGTAGCTACAGATTGCCAATTTCTTACTAAAAAGCACGCAAAAGAGTTTACTTTTCTGCAGAACTTACTAGTGTACTTTAGCCGTGTCTCTGAATGTGGATTGGAAGGTGTGAATTTCAGAACATGAGCTGCTCATGTTCCATTTTGAAGGAGAGAGACGTAGCCTTCTCATATGGTTGAGCAGCACTACATTTGAACCCTCGGTGCCAGAGTCAGTGCTGACTGAACAAGTGCTCTATCACAGCCATTTATTACAGGAGTTATTGACCTAAGGGGGATACGAATGCTGTTCACTCGCAGAAGCAGAGTGTAGACAGTGATTTATAAAAAGAAAAGTGATGGCAGAGCCCAAGTTTAGAATTTCAAGATCCTCATTGGAAATGGCCTTGATAATACTAACTGTGGGTTTAACCCTTATTCATTCAACTACCACATCTGCAAGAGAAGGTTGAGAATTAATCCATCACTCTTAATAGGGGTGTTTCTTGATATATGCTAAGAGTGATATTTATGAAGAATGAATTCCAAATTAAGGGAAGTTACACTGGTCTCCTGTTTGTGTTTAAATGGTACTGGCTGTACAGAAAAAAAAAAAGTGTAACAAAGAAAATGTTGAACACCTGTTACGGTCTTTTATTTCCAGGAATAGTCCCAATAAGAAAATAAGCCAGCTTCCTTTTTTTTTTTTTGGTGGTAATGTCCTTTGGAGAATGTGATTAAACCTTTAGTTTCACATTTTCAATTTATTTTTCCAAATTCAACAGACCCTGAAAATTTGACAACCTATCAGAACATGGACATTCTGATTAATGATTATTTTCAATAAAGCATCCAATACCATGGATGAGAAGATAAGAATAGTGAGCATCACCATTTATTACTATTCTCTCCGTTTCCAAAGTATGCTAAGTACTTAGTATATTTCTTTAAAGAAAATCAGGACAAAACAGAGGTTTGTTTATTTGAAATACTAAGTTATAGATGTTGCTTTGGGGTATTCCATTTACTGAAGAAATTATCCCATAGATTCTATAAAAACTGAAAGATAATGTTAGAAGTTGGATTGGCTTTGGGCTTAATTCATTTTGGACTGGTTTTGTTATCAGATCACCTTAAGATATTTCTGAATATAAATATGTTTAGGAGAGAATTGAAAATTAAAAGAAGCAAATTTCTAGGTATTTTTTCCCTCTTGTTTTAACACAGTAAATGTTTAAAATTGTTTATAATGCCTAACTTTTGATGGACTTTAGTTTCAATTTTGTTCTTAGTCATTGCGGATATTGACAAAATGTCATACGAAATTATTTTGTATTTTTTGTAGGACTGGGAAACAGAAAATCATGACTGGTATTGTTTTGAATGCCATTTGCCTGGAGAGGTGTTGATATGTGACCTGTGTTTTCGTGTGTATCATTCCAAGTGTTTGTCTGATGAGTACAGGCTTAGAGACAGCAGTAGTCACTGGCAGTGCCCAGTTTGCAGGGTGAGTACCTATGAGCTTTAATGTGCTGGTCAGAGGGTTGGAATTCATTGATAATAGCTGCACAAAGATATCCCAGGTGGTCTTGCCAGGTTAATGGATAAAGTACTGGAGGGTGGGGGTTATCTACTGAAATGATGGTTAATGAACATAGAATACTCATAAATGAATATCACAGAACACATACTCAGGGTATGGATTTTAGAAAGTTTTAATCATGTAAAAATATACTCTCTTCTTTTTACAATTCCCTCTGAATTATGTGACTCCTTTAATGGACAGATTTTGGGAATCAAGAACCACTGTTCCCATACTAAGATCTGTTCAATCAGTCCTTTTGGCTGCTCAGAAAACACAGGTAGCAAAAGGCACATTGTTGGAAAAGTTCTGTATCTACTTTCCATTTTATATCCATGTAATGTTGCCTTTATTTTTTGTCATGTCATGGGTTTATTTCTTTTCTTTGGAGGGTGGAGGGATGGGACAGTTGTGTATCAAGAATTCTCCAAAATGAAATAGTCTGGTAGGTAAAATAGGTACTTCCCATGATTATTTTCATTCATATTATTTCCCCGTTGAAAAGTGTACATGATTGTGCTTGTTGGCTGCCAATGTGGTGTGTGTGTGAGTGATCGCGATGCCTAAATACCACGTGATGTATGACCTTGATGGTGATCAGTCAGGAATTATTTGATTGGAACTTCTATTGTTTTGTACTAACTATTGTTAATATACTTACTTGGAATCATGCAAATTGCCGAGATTACTCATGGGTTCTGTTTGTGAACATGTTTTATAATACTTGTGTAACTTTAATAGTCACTTCTTCTTCAAAAAAGTTATGTCTTTATCTCCTCCTTGATACCAGCCAGAAATCATCTAGTTCATTTGCCAGCATGATGAGCAACATACAGTGTCCCTTCTAGTCTTCTTTTAGTGACTGTGGCTTTGTGTTACCTAAGTATGTTTCTTAGCAGCCCTACTGTACTTGTTCAGTAGGCAGACAGAAGACTATTGGTATAACATTTTAAATACATGTGTTATGATGACATGTAATCAAATGCCTAAATGCTAGATAATTAGTGATAAACCTCTAGGTCTGAACAGATCAGTATCAAGCCTCAGGGTGTGGACCTTCTCTAGAGGCCTGCAAGAATTTGAAGGCTACAATAAATCAGTATGGAGCTGCACTAATGTCCCACAATTTACTCTCATGGATTTGTGTTTTACAAGTAAATAATACCCTGGTTTTCACTAACAGTTTACACTAGAGGATATAAAGAATTATTTACATCTGAAGAACAAAAGTATTAAGGTAGTAAAAATATAAAAGAGGTGAGGTCACTGGTCAAATAATAGGGGCTCAGGGACATAGGAGGTACAGTTCTGGACACTCCTGAGTCTTTACAGCTGTAGCTTTGTAATAACTAATATTTAGCTACTATCTCATAGTAAAGAATTTAAATAAAAACACTGGGATTTTTGAGGATGGATTAAACTTTATGGTAGGTGTTTTATATTCCTTACATTAAGAGTTGAAGTTTAAAGAAACTTGAAGAAAATGTGTAATGCTTTTTCTGTCAGAATTTACTATCAAGTTGTCAGATTCCACCTTCTAAATATGTTTGCTCTACTGTTTACTGATAAGATGAAAAACTTTAAGCTTCAGTGGGTTGCTGGCTCACAGAAACATGATAGTTGAAGGGGAATTTAGCCAATCCTATCCTGCCTTTGTGTTCTTCCCTTTGGGTTTCTTTTCGTCTTTATCAGCCTAGATATTCTCACATTGTGGTGTAATTATGCTTACTGAAATGATGCTATGAGTCAGTAAAACACTGGAATTCAGATTCCTTTCACAAACCGAGGGGCTCTTTCCTTATACTCAAAAAGCCTGTGTTTGGGTTGGGGTTGGTGAGTTTATCTTGAGCTTTAAAAATTCCAGAAAAATAGTTATTTCTATGTTAGATCTGTTCTATTTTTTAAATTGTTATGTTCAGGAAAAAGAGAAGTACTAACAGTTTCTTTCCTGAAAAAAGGGATAATAATACTTGAGATTCTAATGCAATTTTTTTTTCCTCCCTCCCCCTCTAATGCAATTTTAAATGTCTTTTTTGATTGGTATTGGGTTGATATATTTATTTAAACAATCTGTCAAGACTTCAAGTAAAGCTGTTTTTTAATAATTAACTTGAGAGTGACAGACCAGATTTAAATATTCTTGAACTAAAAGAACTAAGGCTATAGACTGAAACTTAAAAATTATGGTTCCATGTCAGCCTAATGATCTCTATTTTCATTTTTAATTATGTCTAGAAAGAATGTATAGTAATTAGATTTACTAGTGAGGAATTTTTAAGATAAAATACGGACCAAATTTCAGTACAGGTAAAAGTAGTAGGTGGAAGCCAATCACTGCTATCTAAATTTGAAGATAAAAATATTTCTAATACTTTATACTGGTCAGAAGACTTTTGTTTTATGTAACCTCTGACACTTACGGCATTAAATAGGTTATTTCTCACCCAGCTGTCAGCTGTGTTAGCAGATTCACTTCAGCTTGTTGAACAACTTTATCTCATATGTCTGACAAATTCCAAAATATTTTAAGAAGGCAATGATGGGTATTTTTCTCAGTTTAAAATAGTTTTTTCAATTTCATAATAATCTCAAGAATCTCAGAACCTTGAGGATATTTCCTTGAAATATCTGCCTTTCTAAACAACAGTTATACTATTACTTTACAAATACAATAGATTGTTACTGTAATGTAGCTTTGAATATCAGGTTAGCATTTTGCTTTGAAAAAATTCAAGTTATATCCAGTTTCACACTCTTGATATCAAGAATTCCTATTAATTGGAAAAAATTTTAAATTCCTTTCTAAAAAGTTTTAAAAAATTCAAAGTTATAGGAAGATAAAGAAGAAAAACAATCACAGCAATGCTACCACATCACAGGTGAGTGTGCTCACAGACCTGTGTATGTATGCACACTCTATTTGTGTAAAAGTGCTCACAGACCTATCTGTGTGTATGTACATTCCATTTGAGTGAGTGCTCACATACCTGTATGTGTGTGCACACTCTTATCTGTGTGGAAGTGCTCACAGACCCATGTGTGTGCACACTCCATCTTTGTGAATGTGCTCACAGACCTCTGTGAGTGCACACTCCATCTGTGTAACTGGGTAGACCCATGGACTAGGTACACTGCTGATGGCAGCTGGCTTGCTTCTACTCAGCAATGACCCAGACACCTTTTTTCTGTGATGTGAAAGGTTTCCACTGATGCACATGTGTTGTGTCCATGTGCTGTCTGGCGCGCTGTCTCGTGTGCTGTCTGACCAGCAACACTGACTGAAACTCACCTGTCTGGGGCAGAGGGATGGTGGGAACTCCAGCACCTCCGTTCCAAAGTCGTGGCCCATTCCATCTGGAAGAGCACTCTTCTCATCATTATTTCTGTATGAAAGTGAAGTTTATATTTTGTTAGATGTATTTGAATTTTAAATAATATTGAACTTTATTATTTTCAGGAAAAAAAGAGAAATCATTAACTTTTAAATGAAAATTGTTTTAAAAATTTTATTTGCTTAAAGGTTGTATCTTTAAAACAAAATGTAGTCAATTTTACTTTTCTAAAAAAAAAGTTATACATGTCTATGCAGGTCTGTTTGATTGCCTTTACAAGTTAAATTCAGTGAAACAGAATTTTTTAAGATAGGCGCATTTCTTTTTGTGATAAAAATTACCAAGTTGTTTGTCAGAAGATCAAACCCATTTATACCAACACTGAAAATATTTTCCAGCTTTTTGCTACCAAGTTGACAGGCTCCAGAGGGATATCTCACTTTAATGTCCCTTCATTCTCATTTGCACAGCTTCAAAGTTGTAGCCATTTGCGCCTCGATGCTGTAGTTGCAGAAGGCAGGCCGGTGTGTGTGTGCCTGTAAGCATACATGTAGCCATTTGCGCCTCGATGCTGTAGTTGCAGAAGGCAGGCTGGTGTGTGTGTGCCTGTAAGCATACATGTATGCAGTACATGTCTGTGGGTGAACGTGCCTGTGTGTGTGAATGTCTGAGTTGTGTGTGTGCACATATATACACATGTGTATGTTTTGTGTGTGTGCACATGCACTGCACACTTGCTGGTGTCTAGCCCTACTGGTAAACATCATACTTTTTGAATGATATCCTCTTGGGTTTTTTAATACATGGCGAGATGACTTCTTACAGGAAACCCTAAAACCACTCCCTATATTGGCACCATGTTGCTTTTTAGATCATAGTTACTGGTAGATCTTTCTGTGGGCATGGAATGTTCTCCCTGTGCTGTCCAGTAGGAGCCACTGACATGTCTATTGAGTGAGTGCTTGAATGTGGTATGGAGACCCAGGCACTGGTTTTCAGTTTGGCAGTTTGACTTATGACTGCTTCCTGTACTAGGCAATGCAGTGTTATAAATGCAAATCTAAATGCCTGTAGTAACTATTGCAAGAGAGACATGAGTGGCCTGGCATTTGTTCTCCCCGTGATGACGCAGTTCCGCCTTGAAAGAGTTCTAGAGGAAGGATGTAGAGCAGCTTCTGCCTTGTTGCCCTCCGTTCCATAGCAGGTCATGGGCAAGCCCTGCATCATGCTGTGCCAGTTACAGTGTGTGTTCCGTGATGTGCAGCACACAGACTGATGGCTGTAATAGTTGATAGTGCTGTGTTTGCTCTGAGGCTGGTTGTTACTAAAAATCAGAATATGAAATGCAGGGGGAAAGAACAGCAAAATAGTTGGCACTTTCCAGGTTAATGATCCTGATACAATAGTATTTTGAAGATAGGCCCCTGTTTCCTACATCCTCTTTTAATATGTTAGTGTTCCTTATATAAATGAATTTCTTTATAACTTTGGGGAGTTGCAGATTCATGCTACTGCTCCTTTCAAATTCAAATAAATGAAAATTTATGTTTGGACTAAAATCTGTCACTAAGGAGCAGAGTGTAGAGCTCTGAA